AGAAGCGGCACCATGTCCCTCAGCTCCTAGGCGGAGGGATGGCTACGGGGGCTCCGTGTGTTGCCCCCCGCCCTGAGTGGCTGCTCTGCAGCTCCCATTGGCCGGGGGCGGCACCTGCAGGCAGAGGTAGCGCGCAGAGCCACCTGGCTGCGCCTCTGCCTAGGAGCTGAGGGACATGTCACTGCTTGTGGGGAGCTGCCTGAGGTGAGCGCTGCCTGGAGCCCACACCCCGAAACCCCTCCTGCACCCCAGCTCTGACCCCCTTCTGTGCCCCAACCCCCAGCCCTGAGCCCCCTCCTTCACCCAAACTTCCTCTCGTAGCCCACACCCTGAACCCCCTCCTGTACCTCAACCCTCTGCCCCAGCTTGGAACTCCCTCCCGCACTCCAATCCCCTCATCTCTGGCCTCACCTCAGAGCCCGGAGCCCTCACCGCCCCTGCACTTCAACCTCCTGCCCCAGCCTGATCCCCCTCCAGTACCCTGAACCCCTCATTTCTGGCTGCACCCCCAGCCCAGAGCCCATACGCCTCCCACACTCCAACCCCCTGCCTCAGCCTGGAGACCCCTCCCACACTCCGAACCACTTGGCCCCACCCCGCCAGCCCAAAGCCCCCCCCCTGCACCCTAAACCCCTCATCCCTGGCCCCACCCCAGAACCCGCACCCCCAGCTGACACCCTCACCCCTTCCCATACCTCAACCTCCTGCCCCAGCCTGGTGAAAATGAGCAAATGAGTGAGGGTGGGGGAGAGTGAGCGACAGAGGGAGGGGAGGATGGAGTGAGGGGGCAGAGCCATGGAGAAGTGGTGGGGCCTGGGCCTCGGGGAAGGGGGCAGGGCAAGGGTGTTCGGGTTTTGTGCAATTAGAAAGTTGGTAATCCTAGGTCTACACAGCTGAAACTTGTTTGATTCATCCAGTTGCATATGGTATGGTCACCCTGAACCACTAAGGGGTGGGGGAAATAACTGTTTGCACCAGCAACAAGGAGCAGTTCTGTACTGCTTCCTCCTCTATTGTCAGGGGGCAGACTGCTTATCTCCTCCTGCTGTGGAGACCATCCAGGTTTGAGGGAGTAGTTGGCCTTTCTTGGTGGCCTCTGGACAACATTAGGTGAAGAGTAATCCATCCACAGATGCCAGAAGGGGGCAGCAGGCCAGCAGTCTTTTTCTGCAAGATAGCACCAGGAAAAGATGATCAGCAGTATTTGGGGGAAAGGTCTGTCATTATGGCCCTCCAGCAGTAAGCCATATGCAGGGAGAACAGGTTGTGTGGCCTGCTGGGGTAAAATAGTTAAGATGAACACCCAAATTCTGAACCTAATTCATCTGAAATTCTCCTAGTGATAGATTTAGATGTAGTTTTGTTATGGCTAGACTGGTTTGCAGCATGCTTTTACTTGTAGTTTAGCTGTAGCGAGACTGGTTTGGTATGTGCTCCTGTATGTAATCTGGCTATGTTCATGCTGTGGTTTCTGTGTTTTTAATTGGATCTCCCTTGAACTCCTAGTGTTACAGATCATAAGAATCAGTAATACTTAAAATATATTGCTTGTGGTTTCCTGGCTGGAAACAGGCCAAGTCATCTACTTCCACACCATAACAGTAACCAAAACCAACATCCATTATGTCCTCAGTGTCAAACTCACTTCTCTGACTCCAACTACCTAAAATACTAGCCTCTTTGATTGTCTCTCCTCAGAGGAGCCTGTTGCATCCTTTGACTTGTAGGGGCAAAGGGGCTTTCAGTGGCAGGATCAGCACTGGGCCCAGAGGAGGTGACTAACTAGTAGTAAGTATTGGCTGCTTTCTCTCCACATCTTAGGCACATTGACCACCCACATCACCTTCCACAAGGCATCAGCAGGATGGGTCTATGTATTCCACACTGCAGCTAGAGCTCATGATCCTCCAGTGTATTTTTGCAGTGTGGGAACAGGGATTGACACAAAGAAGAGCAGCCTTCTTTTTTGTGTGAATCCCTGCTTCCACGCTGCAAAAATATCTAGTAACAGCTGTTCTCTTTCCAGGTGCCAATGACATGATGTCTCAAGAATGGACTTCTGTTTTGCCTACCTCTCTGGGTATTCCATTCTCATTCTCCTGGCATATGCTAATGTATACAACGTATTCTCAGTGCATGTGTGACTGTCCCTGCATTGCGCCTTCTCTCCCAAACTTCCTTGCACAAGCCCAAATTGCCAAAAGATGCCTGCCATCATACTTCCGTGTGAAATTTGAAAAGTCTACTTTTGACTCAAATATAAACCTTTGAGTCAAAAGTAGACTTTGGTCTGGTAAACCATCCTGGGTCCGTAACATTTTTCAAATAGGAAAATTTCTCTGGTTCAAAAGTTAATTACAAAAAAAAAAAAAGATGAAAAATGTGTGACACTGTGAAAATGTGTTTGCATATTTCTCTCAACCCCATTTTTTAGCCTTTCCTATGGAAAGTTAGAAAGAAGAAAAAGGAAGAAAGAAGTTAAAAACATTAGAAAAATACCAGTATTGTAAGTGTTCATTAGTTGTAAATAATATTTGTAAAATGTGTATTAGGGCTAAATGAGCAGTTTGGGTGATTGCTGAACCAAAGCAGTCATTTGACAACCTACTTGGCTTAACCAAATTGTGTGAGTTTGGCATGATAGAGATTCAATAAGGCAGTGGCACAAATTCCCTCGGGTTGTAACAGTGATAAAAGGCATTGCCAGAATACAGGGAGGAGTTTCTATTCGCCTTTGTTGAATGTTGTGGTTATAACGTGAACTCAAACTTGTTTTCATTCATCCACCCTTAGATATTAATAACATAGGGCCATATTGTACTCTTGGTTGCACTGGTGCATCTGAGAGTCTAATCTGGCCCATTACTGAATGTCTAATATATGACATCAGTTTATGCCTGCCCATACCTGCTAAAGGTACAACATGAGAAGTGTTGCTATTCGTTGTGTACTTATCAGGATGGAAGTTTGTTTTTTTGTGTGATGGCAAGCAGAAATAGCCCACTTTCCCTCTATAGCCCCTCTCTTCTTTTAAGAAGCAAAATCCCTCAGCAATCTGACCTCCGCTCCAGAATCTGTACAAGGGGATAATCCATTAGAGAGTGGGTGATTTGTTATGTTTCAAGAACTTTTCTTTGGATTAAAAAAGTGCCTAGGGGGACTTGGTAAGATTCTGTGACAGAAGTGAGGGACTTTAAACACAATCTGCATTTCTTTTTCTTTGCAATGGCATTGAGGAGGATAGGGGTGAGGATAGTCTGTGCTCAGGAGTGTAGAACTCTTGACCTTCAGCTCCAAAATTCCAGAGGTATCTATTCAGAGGACTTAAACCTAGAGCTCTGCCAATTTGAGCCAGCAGGGGAAGCATTGAGCAAGCATTGTGTCTCAACCTTTTCCATTGGAAGGGCAGGGTAGTTGTGACCTTCTGGTGACTGAGACCTCCAGGTTGAAAACCCATGATCTATGAGATTGATTGATGCAATCTACTTTCTCTGGCCTACCTGACACTCCTATTGCTCCTTGCTCCAGTTAATCCAGAATATGAATGCTAAAATTACCTTCGTCAGTGTCAATCTGACCCTGTAAATCTCTTTCTTGGATTCCCTCTACTAGTTCACATTTTCCATCTAGTTCAAACTGCTTGCCGTTTCTCTCAAGACCTGCATAACTCTGCCCTTTCTTATGTATCAGGCATTGTCTTTTCTGCATGGTAGCCAGCCCTCTTTGCTTTATTTATAATGCCAGCTCTGTTCATCTGCATCTCCCACAATTATTTGTGTGCCTCTTACCATTATGCAATGTAGGCATGGAAAACCTTCCCAATCTGCCAAATCACTATCTGCATCCCACTTCCCTATCTGCATCCCACTCTCGCCTTACAACTCACATCTTAAACAATACCTAAAAAAGAGGAAGCAGAAAAATCAAATAACAAAACAAAGCAAACACAAAACCAAAAAAGCAAGAGCAAAGGAAACAAAACACGGCCCCACAAATAAAAATAAACAAAAATCCCCCAATACACATTTGAACCATCAGAAATGCACATAGTAATCTTATTGTTGTAACTCCTCTCATTCTTCACCATGTCCATTTGTTACTATTTGTTCTCTGCCCCACTCAGTATGTCTTATCTAAAATTAGCCAGTAAACTAATTGCAGGGAAGGAACTTGGGGAACTACAGCCTGGGTGGGGAAGGGCAATTGAGTGGGTCACGTGCTTTGGCCAGAAAAGAGGATTTGGTATGAAGGGTGGACTTTTTGGTAGGGAGGAGAAACATCATGTTAAGCAATTAAGAGGATTTTTTTGAGAGGGGGATGGTATATACGAATATTTACATGCTTAACAACCATATACACAAGGACACAGCAGCATTAGCTGCCCATGGCATGTCAAGCATGCGATGACCCCACTTTATGTAAGAGTGCAAGGTAGAGCAGAGGTACAAGTAAGGGCTAATCAACATTTGAGCCACTGTAGTGCTGGTCACTTCATTTGGGAGGTAAGGCGCCCCAAGGATAGCAGCAGAGACGTGAAAGTGTGTGTGTGACATTTGACAGCAGAGAGTTTCATCACCCTGTAACACCCTTCCAACTACTGAGGCATGGACACAGATTTGAACCCCAGGTGCAAGTTAGGGTGACCGGACAGCAAATGTGAAAAATCGGGACACGGGGTGGGGGGTAATAGGAGCCTATATAAGAAAAAGACCCCGCAACTGGGATTGTCCCTATAAAATCGGGACATTTGGTCACCCTAGGTGCAAGGCCAAGCCCTGCCCCGTCTGATGCCTGATGTGCTGGGTTAAGGTGTGAGAGACCGGCAGGTCCATCTCAGTGCCTAGCCGAGCCCATCTCGCGGCGCCCCCAGTGCCTGTGGCACATCCAGCCCAGCAGATGTCAGTGTGGCCTGTGAATCCCGGCGGCGGGGCTGGGCAGGAAGCTTCCCCTCCCCCCCCTTGCTTCCTTCCCTCGCTGCCTGTCACTGAGAGCCAGACGGGCTGCAGACAGGCAGCAGCCAGGGGAGGCGGGGGAAGGAGGCGAGCCTGGGAATGCGCTGGAGGCAGACCCAGGCTGAGCGCCCGCAGAGCCACCGCGGGAGACAGACGGGGGGAGGAGGCCGGCACTGCCGCTGCTCTGCATGAGGCTGCAGGGGGTGAGCGGCGGGGCTCGGAGAGAAGGTGAGTGCGGCGCCTGCCTGGGCATTTCCCCCTTTCCTCGCCTGCAGTCTCGGGGCTGGAGCCAGCGCTGCTGCTAATGGAGATGCAGCTCGCCGGGAGGGGAGGGAGCCCCCGGGAGCCAGGGAGTTGCTGCAGCAGCCAGACAGCCAGAAAGTGACTGGGAAAGTGAGGGGAGGCCCAAGTTTAAGGTCTGCGGCTCTTAAAGAGACAAGACGCAGGTTGTTCTGAAAAGGTGGCTTCCCTTTTCCCTGGTGACCTGCCCGTGTGTGTGTAGCCTGCAGACTGCAGCTCCATCAGCGCGCGGACACACCTGGGTTGCACAAGGGGAGAGATGTCTGGATTCCAGCTTTTGATCCGGAGTCAGTCTGCAGGAGCTGCTGGTCATTTACCCTCGCTCAACTCTGCCTTCCCCGGGGTGAGGGGACCCAGCCTGATGGGAGAGTGTTTTCTGGAGGAGGTGTCTCCGGGGCTGGAGCTAAAATGACAAAGGGAACTACATTAATTGCCCTGTGCTCCCCTTTGTTATTCGTGTTACCTTGTCAGTGGGGGCTTAGTTTGCGTGGGAAGGAATGACCGGCAATAGGGTTAACGTGGCTTTTAAATCAAAAGCGATGATGATATTCCACCTTTAGTTGGATTTTTTTTTGTCATCCTGGCAAAACTCTGACACAGTTGTCTGGAGGGTTTCGTCTACGCGTGTGGTCTCTCTCTGTGTGTAATAATCATCTCTTTTCACTCCTCCCTCCAAATTGTGTTCTTCATCGTTGAAGGGAAATCTGGGAATGTATCATGCATCTGTTTGCCTTGCTTTGTGGGCTGAATGGATTGGTTTGGTTTGGGATGCTGCATGTGGATTGGAGGGGACTTATTGGGGTACTTCAGCATAGGTCACTATAAAGGTGGCTTCGCTGAAGCTTTTCAGAGAAGAGAACAGGCTGCAAAACTAGAGTTATATTACCCAATTTGCTCTCTGTCAGCATGTTCCTTCAGGAGGATACGTAAAATAATCCTTACATTTTGCATGAATATTCCTCTATTGCTATGAAGAGTTAATTTTACATAGCACAGTGGAATAATATTAAATGGCAGGTCTGCTACATCAGTCCTGTGCTGCCCTGAAGAAGAAAGATTATAACAGAAGTGTCTGTACAGTAAAGAAAACTGTTCAGCAGACCCATGCAGACAACTTTTACAGGAAGGAAGGGAGCATATAAGCATTTGCTTATTTCTGTTGAGCTCATGGAAAACAGACTCATATTTACTGAAATCTATTTTCTTTTCCACATATCAGCACAAGTCTAATGCAGCCTTCTCTATATTGCTGATCTACCTTGTACAGATGGCATTGAGTAGGGCAGTGATTCTCAATCTTTTTTTCTGGTGACCCCTTTCACACAGCAAGCCTCTGAGTGTGAACCCCCCCTTTTTAAATTAAAAACACTTTTTTTATATTTAACACTAATATAAATGCTAGAGGCGAAGCAGGATTTGGGAATGGAGGCTGCAGCTCACCACCGCGACCCCTTGAGGGGTCACGACTCCCAGTTTGAGAACACCTGGAGTAGGGACATCAGAAGTTTATGGCATGAACTGGGAAGCAAATTTTGCTGTTATATGTGAATATATGTGTATAATATTCATATAATAGTTGCCGAGAAGATTTAAATGGATAAAATGCACATTTTAGTTTTTTTTTTTCTTCTGAACCTCACGATGGAATAAACAGGAAACAGGCAAAACCAGAAAATAACTTCCCTTTGTTCAGTGGTCTTAAACTATACATCTATGATGATGTGTGGTCTAAACTGAGGGTTTTTCTGCAATGTTCAAGGCTTAGCAAAATGTATTTTTATGTGTAACCGGTGATGGTTGCGCATGACAGTAAAAATCAGGTGAGTAATTTTATGTGGTACTGAAAAGGGCATTTGGAATTATAAATGTATAATTTTAGAGTGCCTAGAGTAATATTTTTCAATTAGGAAGGAGTCATATTTAATTAGAAAGGATCTGTTTTAAAAAGACTTAATTTTTTAAAAGTGCTTATGCAAGGAAAAGGTGCATCGCATAAAGGTGTAGAGACAAATATATGCAGGATCTCATTTCTCAGGCTAGCCAACAGGTCAGAGGTATTTCACAATAAGAAAGCAGAGGGACAATTACTGGTAGTTATACAGCAATCTAAAAGAATAGACTTCAGGGAAAGTTGATGAACTAATATGATGGATAACTACAGTAACATTTGCTGCTGGGAAATGTTTTTCTGCATTAGAGTTTTCAAACCCTAAGTGTCTTTAATTGGACAGAGTTTTGTTTTGCCCCCACTTGCTAATTTATTTTCTAGGATAATATTCTAATGGCTTTGCATTTCATAGCAGTCCAAAATTGGTTTAAATAAAATGATATTCATTTTGATGCACTACTAAGTGGAGCTCTGTGGTGATGGTGCAGGCTGCCACTAGCAAGCATGCAGACACTGCAGCTTCATCTCTGTTAGAAATAAAAGGGACTCTTTAGCTGGAAAGACATTGAGGGGAGACAGTCTATTAACTGATGAATGTCCCCACTTCACTGCCAGCTGAAATAGTGACAAAATGTTCTCCACATCTATATCTGTACTAGTGTTGCAGCACTGACTATTGAGTTACTGTGAGTATGCCACAAAGTCAGTAGTAAGAGAATTTTAACTGCAGTGTGTCAAATATAAATCTACACATATGTGTATGTACATAAAATACATCTTTATATATTCTGTATTTTTGGCTCTGTATTAAATTCTGCCACATGAGTACATGAAGATTGCTATTGCATGTACATAATGCATCTCAGTGTGTTCTCTTTCAGCAACCTGAGGTGGCCATACAAAGCTAACGGATGATAAATGTAAGACACAGAATGAGTTAACAATGTAAGATCAGTCCATTGGCTTACATTAATTGAAACATTCCAGGCTCTGGCACAATTTTTGATGGATGAAGTTGAGTCCATGTTTCAGTGTCTTGGCCATATTATAAGAAAATTTGGGGAAACGAGAAGAAAATTGGATTCTAGGATAAGATACAACTGTCCAAAATTTTTGGGAGGCTTAATGTTTATCAGTAAAAACATTACCTGATAATTTTGAAATGACTCATCCCTTCATCATTTTGAGGGAGATAAACAGAGTTACCTGCAGTTCCTTGTAGGTAAGATCTTTCAGATGAGACTTAAAAGCTGAGTTTCTGTCTGCTCTGTGTGTAAATTAAAAGTGCCATGGCATTGTTGGAAGAGGAGTTTTTTTGCCCCTGTTTGCTTGATCAGAATTTCATTCCTTCTTTTTCCTCAGCTGTTGTACAACATGCTCTGTTGTGTCTATCTGTCTGGCTACTGCCCTTTACCCAAGAAGTGGCAGCACTCAAGTGGTGCTGTATATGAACAAGCCTTTGGTATCCCTTCAGGATGTAGAATGCTGTCTGAATGTAAATTACTATGAAAATCATCCTAGATTTTAAAAAACACTTCCTCTTCAGTGTCAACTTTAAGAGAAATAAACAATTTTAAAGAGTTACGCACATTTCCATTTCCATATGTTAACATGAAATGCAGTTGCATTTTATTTTTTGCCCCATGATTAGCGTTGGAAAAGTTTTACACTAGCTAAAGTTGCTGTAATTTAGAACAATGTTATGCATATACATATGTGCATGCCCGTCAATAACAGGAAGGGAATCTATACATTTCTAGGAGATTTTAGTGCAGTCTCTTTGCAGGTTTGGTGTGCATAACCACTGAATTCTTCAATGGCGCCCTGCCAGCACCAGCTGCTTGTTAAAGGAGCTTGTGCCAGTACATTGGTGCATCAGTTGTTGAGAATCCACCCCCTCAGTATAAACATTCATACACACACATTTTTCTATTACCCAGCCGGTGACTTTCTAAAAATAGCTGTCTTGCCTGGCACATTGAGACCATGGACCCCTCTGGACACAATGGGAAATTCTGAATTAATCTGGTTTGTAATTTTTTAGATCCTTGGGTAACTGCTCACTGTAGAGGGGAGATTACGTCTTGGAGTTCTGCCATTCCGTCAGCAAATTCTTGCCCAAACCAGAATTACACAGAGAACAAAGTAATTGATGGCCAGTATATAGCAATGTCTTCAATGCTACTGAGTAGAGGTACCAAGGGACTTGCCCTGCAGCCCTTAATTAGTTTAGTAGTCCCATTGAAGTTAATGGGACTATTCAGGTAAGTACCTCTGGCTAAGCAGGACTGCAGGATCTGGCTCAAAGCACAATGAAGCAGGAGAAATTAAAGTAAATGAGATAAATGTATGGTTCATGGATTTATCTTTTTCCATGTGTTGTACACAAAAAATTGAATGTTCCAATAAAGAACAGTTAACATTTATTTCAGTTGTGCTACTCATATGAAAGAAAAATATCAACACTTTATTTTAGTATCTTATTTGCTGCCTCCGAAACCCTACAGACAATTGTATGTGTGTGTAGATTAAAGAAGAGTATAGGTTGAGTGCAAAATTATTATTTTTTTGTGGCCTAAACATCTCTTTGTGTATAGTATATATGCATTTAGTAAAATCCTTCACTAGCATAGGCCCTGATTGGTGTTTGGAAGATACTGTAGGTAGTGTATTTTGTTAGTTACTTTTCATGTCATTAACATAATGCACTTAGTTAGGCATAGGAAACATGCAGGCACCTGTATTATCTTTAATTACCGGAGTAATATTGTGCAAGTTTCTTCTTCCTAATTAAAATAGCTTCTGCCGCTAACACATAAGGAAATGAGAATTAATCTTTTTGTGTGTGTTATGATGGATCTCAATATTGTTCACATCTGGATTCCTTTTCTTTGAAATCCTATTAAAAATGGCACTTGGGCTTTTAAAATTGTATTTGTGAGGCACTTTCTTTCCACTGAGCTTGTTTTTTAGATAGAGGGCTTGGAAATGACAAAGAAACTAAATGTAATTTCTCTTGATTGGCAACTGAGAGCTTTCC